AACATCTGGCCCAGACAAGGGTTTATAATACAACATTAAGCCAAAAAGATTGCTTACACCTGGTTGTTCTGCTTCTTACAACATGGGAGATATTGTTACTCTTGAAGTTTTTAAATTTTGGACAGATGAGTTGTATTTAGGGATGGATAAAACAATTTTTGTACTTTGCAAAAAATTTAGCTCTGGAAGTGCTCTGTGTTGGTGAAAAGCATTTTTTTGAGCTTCATCAGTATACAAAAGGTGACATATTTATACACGGGTATCTTTTAACTGATCTTTGGATAATTACTTTTGCGATGCCCCCAAAAGCTGGCATTGCAAGAACTTTGGTACTTTTCTTCTTGTCAGAGCTTTGCCTGGAGCCCTGTTGTGCCAAGAGCTGTCAGGACATGGAACAGCTGCAGGGAGACATTCAGGGTCTAGATGGCCGCTGTGCTCAGTATTTCAGGGAAGTCATTATTCATGGCTTTTAAAAAAAATTTTTTTTTCAAGTCTTGGTTAAACAACCATAAATTATGAACATTTGCAAATGTAAGCATTCAGCCAGTGGCAAATGCCAGTGGGAAGGACTCAATCACGTGGTCCCGTGTGAACGGGAAAGGCTCTCTCTTATGAGCTTTATCCTTTTCAGTTTAGAAAGTAGGATTTTTTTTTTTTCTGGAGGGTTCATGTATCGCATTGTGGGTTCCTTACATGCATGATTAGGAAGGACCTGGAGAAGAGAAGACTCTGGGGAGACCTTATAGCAGCCTTCCAGTTGTTGAACAGGGCTGCAGAAAAGATGGGGAGGGACTCTTTATCAGGGAGGGTAGTGATAGGACGAGGGGTAATGGTTTTAAACTGAAAGAGGGGAGGTTTAGATTAGATATTAGGAATTAGTTCTTTACTATGAGGTGGTGAGACACTGGCACACGTTGCCCAAAGAAGCTGTGGCTGCCCCCTCCCTGGCAGTATTCAAGGCCAGGTTGGATGGGGCTTTGAGCAACCTGGTCTGGTGGAAGGTGTCCCTGCCCATGGCAGGGGGGTTGGAACTGGGTGATCTTTGAGGTCCCTTCCAACCCAAACCATTCTCTGATTCTATGAAATCGTTGTGAGATCTGTAATGAGGTTGTCTCCCCAGGAAAGCAAGCAGCATTTATCTGCTTCCAGCATCACTCTGTGAAACTTCGTAATTTCTCAGGTGCTTGCCACGAGAACACCTCTAAAGTCAAGAGGCTGCCTCTGCTTTTGGCACAGGAGCCTTCAGCAAGAGAAAACCAAAGCCCATTTCCTAGTCACCAAGGTCACTTTGCCTAGTTTAATTTAGTTTTTTTAAAAAATAAATGGCCAACTGTATTGTGAGTCTGAATTTTGTTGCTTTGTTAAAAAAGCAGGGTTTTTTTCACTGAGGTGGTTTTTTTTTTCCCTCCATGTAGCTTTTCCCTGTGCCTATCTATTGCGTGTATTTCTTCCCACCGATCACTCACTTGCACAAAATTTGTTCCACACCAGTTACAATCTAATCACCATATTCCTGGGACAAGTTTTCTTCCTTAGAGGACTTGTAGTATGGGAAGACAGTACCTCCAGAGAAGAAGGAACTTCCTTCCTTGTTTTCCGTTTCCACAACTAGGATGGTGTTTTGATCTTCTGTCAGTTGGTGACAGCTGATGAGAAAATTCTCAGAGAAAAAAAGAAACACCTTGTCAGTATGTCAAACACCCGATATGAATTTGAGAGCAGGAAGGAAGATTGCTGCCTTTGGCCCCCAGAGGAGGGCAGGGTTCAGTTTTCAGGGTGTCATGGAGCATGACTGGTGCTGTTCGTGGGACCTTCCATGGACTTCGGCATCTGGCTGAAGCTTTGCACTCCTCCAGATTGTTAAAGGTCGATCTAGAGTACTGGTTTGTAGATAAACTATAGTGAGGAATTTGGTGTCTAAGACTTGGAAGATTTCAGCAGTAGCTCAACTCCCTTTATGTGTCCAGCAAACATGGGAGATACATTGAAGCCAAGCCAAAGTTTTGGTGGGAGCTAGGGTGTCATATTTTAACTATATTTTGCATGAGGAAGATGAAGCAACAGAAGTAGGTGAAAGGAAAAAACACACAGATTGTTCTTCTATGGATTTATATATTAATTTCTCGAAAATCGTTGCTGACACTTTAATTTGGGGCTAGTTTTTTAATTTTGGGATACTTTGTACTCTTTTCTTTTTGTTAGTGCATGTAGAACCACCTTTGTATTACAAATAAATTATTTTGTGATCTTGCTATTAGAGAGGTAATTTGATTTGTCTTAATTGAATCACTACTTTCTAATCCTTAATTTAATGTTTCCCTGTGTGTAATTCTCATTACACACTAGCATCAAAGGGAGCTGTACTAAACATGGGCTCTTCTGCGGTTCTAAATATGTACAAAGCTATTCCTGAGTCTTACAACAGCAGAGCTATAGGAAGCTTTAGCTTGGCTCTCAGTTGGGATTCAGGTGCTTTCAATGGAATCAAGAACATTATAGAAGTACTGAGGTGAGATTTTACCTCTGAACAGTCAATATATACAACAGCATACATTAGTGGTAGCTTTTAAAACTGAACGAAATTCTTTTAATGAAATCATAACCAATTGCAAATACTGTACAAAAAAGTGATGATGGTGTCTGCAAAAAATGCATTTCAACTTAGATTTGTTTGCAGTTGCATGAATGCTTTTCTCTCTGAAAGTGTATTACATGCTTGTTCCAGCCTCTCCTTTTCACAGCTGTGGCAGGAAAGAAAATCCGTAGGTTGTACCTGTGTGAGGTATGAGTTGGAAGGGTGTGCAACTGTGGCTTTAAAATAAAAAGCCACAAGAAGTGATATTTACTCTGACTCTTCCAGTTTAAAACTGTTATTAATTTAAAGAAAACCACGTTTAAAAATGTCTCACCATGAGTGAATGCTTTTCTGTTCGTCTCTTGTCTTTTGGAAGCGTAGTGTGTCAGCAAACTCCTCGAATGGTCTGGCGCCAAGTTCAAGCGACGTGGTATTCCCCTGCCATGAGGGTTTCTCTGCCTGTAGACAGAAATAGTGACCATGTGGGAGTATGCGTATGGTGGTTGTTTCTAGACATGGTCAAAATACAGTTTAACCTTTCAGAGCAGATCGTATCTGATCATACAGATCAAACCGACTGTCGCTCAAATGCGTGAGAGCAGGACTGTTCACTACCACGGGAAACATTTGGGTCAGTGGTGAAATGTGTTTCAGTAACAGGTGGATGTTTGGGCTTTTGTAATGACACTTCACAGCAGAGTAAGGTGTAATATAAACAGGGCTTTGAGAAACTGAACTGAAAACACGCGACAATCGATCGTGTTTCATTTATTGTTCTGAGGCAGTTTTTATTACTTGTCCCTACTAGAGAATAATAGCAGCGCCGGAGGTGGTTTTGCCTCTTGGAGGCCATCAGGGACACGAGCATCAGTCATTAGAGAAGGATGGTGCTGAGGTAGAGCAATTTTTTTTTATCCAGAAGAAGCTAATGTGAGGCTTATCCTAAGCGCAGGCAACTTGGCATGTTGCTGCAGCTCTTGAGCTGGCGCAGCGGCAGAAGCAGGGAGGAAGGATGCCGCACGTCGAAGGCGTGGCGGGGAGGCAGCTGGCCGTTTGCCGACGAGCGTGCAGGAGATGGACGCGACATCAGAAACAGACACCCAAACACCTCCACCCTTTTATAGTCAGGGGAGAGGAATAGGCGTTTTTAGGGCATGATTCATCCTGTGGTAGCACCGGAGCTGAAAACTGGGCAGGGAAATTGTGCCCTAGAAATACTCATTTCTCTCTGTTGGCTCTGAAGGAAACCTGGGGTTCCTAGCTCAGGTCCAAGTGCCTGCACCACGGCTGTCTGAGGTTCGGTGAGATGAACTTCACCCTTGGTGTTTATGAACTAGAGCAGGGTGAGAAGACTGAAGTCTTACTTGCATCTTCGCTACCTAAAATCCGTATTTTTTCCCTGCTCAGTACAATACTGAACACGTGTTTGCAAAGCACGTGCTGTTCTTGCTTGCAGGTGACAGGAGCCTGAACGTTGTATATAATCCTTTTAATATATATTTTTTTAATGTAGTTGTATATATGGGTGTACAATTGTATATATGGGTGTACAATATATGTAACTTAATCCCAAAAATTCTATACTGTGGCATATTGCCGAATTTGAGGTATTTAAACTGTTTTTAGAGCATGTATTGTATCTCAGTAATGAGGCTGTAATGGACTGTCTTGCTTCTAGTTTATGGAACATATTGTTGAAAATCTTTTTTTTTAATGCATACGGTATTCTCTCTTTACTGTGCTTTATCTTTTTTATTGATGTGGCTTTTATTTAATCAAATCTATTTGTTTATTCTTGCCTGGAAGCAAATAGGATCAGGGATGTTTGGATCAGTAAACAAACAGGATGCACAATGTAACTATGAATCTTTCTGAGGAACTTGGCCCTGATTCCTGGTTTCTCAGCCCTGGCAAGATGCCGCCTTGGATAGAGGTGGCCACAAAGGTGTTGGGTGGAAGCTGTCCCATTGCTTGACTCAGTAAACACCCATCATCTGGCATCGTGATTGCACAAGAAGGCTTTAACTGCGCTGCCCTTTGTTCATTTTTATTGATCTCCTACCACCATGTTACTCTGTTTTGAAGCTTATGTTTGGTAGAGTAGGCAGGTTATTTGTTGTTTTATTTTCTTCTGGTTTTGTTGGGATTTTTTGTTTAGCAGACTGTCCATGATAGAAGCCCATAGAAGTACTAGTTTTGTTTCTTAATTCTTCCTTTTTTTCCTGATTGCCCTTTACCACAGTTGTTGCTGAGACATGTTTTACAAAACACAGAGCAACTTGAAGTGGTAATTACTGCCTTTTAAAACTTCTAATTGCACTTTCTACTTTCAGTACTTACCTTCCAGACTATTCCCTAGGAGAGGCTTACTCCCATAGCCATTAGCTCTGACACCATTTTCCGTTGGTGGCAGTGTGCTTAGTGGCAAGACAGTGAGACATGAGCAGTCCCTAAGCAAGCTTATAATCATATGGTCAGGTTTTCTTCTTGTGTGGTTAAATAAAAAACCTAGTTGATCCATGCATATCTGTGCTCCTCTGTGGAGGATGAGACCAAATGTACAAGTACTGGTTTTCTCAGAAACATGTTTTAGCAACTCTTTGGTTTGTTTTCTTGTTTTTAAGCTTGCCAAATTCATAATGTGATCTATTTCTGTAGTGAGAGAACCTTAGAGTTACACTAGACTTTCTTGGAGCCTGCTCTGCTATCATCAGCTATGACTTTCTTCCTGCAAAGGACATTTTAAAAGACTTGCTTTGGAAAATACTGTGTCTGTAATAAATAGTAGATTTTGAAAACCTCTTCACGTTGAATGGTTGCTTTTTCAGAGTGTATGCATCTTATTATTATTATTATTATTACTACCAGTCAGTTTGATGTCTGTTTTCCCAGCTGCCTCTTTTCTTCTGTATCTGATGCAAAATAACTATCAAGACAGAAGGATGATGTCTGAAAGCAGACTTAGGAAGGAAAGAGGGGAATAATGTCAAGTGACTAAAGCTGTAAAAATTAGAGAGGGAAAGTATTAAGGCATGTATATCAGGCACTCCCTGTTACACCCCTTGCTCTTGTAGCAACTGTCCCCCAAAATAGTGATCTTCAACTAATGTCTCTTGGGAAACTTGGTGCCTGTGAGAGCTCCATCCAGTCCTGACAGCCACAGGACTCCTCCACCCCTAGCTTGATGGGAAGAGCAAAAGATTTAAAGTGCTTGTAGCAAGTCACTTGCCCAGTACTATTGCCAGCAGCGTTTAGCGTTTACTGCACTGTGCCACTCCTCCGTATTGGCAGCTTTTATGCTGCAAAATGATGTCATGGGAGTCTGGCATTACCTACTGGAGTAAAGTCAATATATTAGATGCTACAGTGATATTCAGTCTCTGGCCCATAGTGGGACACTGCTGCTACTTGGCTTTATGTGCTCTAGGTATTCCCTCCTGATGATCTAATACTCAAGTGATGTAGTAGAAGTCTGTTGAAGTATTAATCAGTAAGTGGTTACATTGGACGCAGACTAACTACTGTTATTTTAATTTTCTTTTTTCCACCCCCCAGCTTGGTGATCCGTCTATTTTCCCTGCTGTCATCGTGGAGCATGTTCCTAGTGCAGACCTCCTACATAACTATTCTGGTTTAACCTGCGTGGATGAACCTAGTGACATGATCACTGAGAGCTCTCTGGACGTCGCAGAAGAGCAAATCATAGAAGATGATGATATCACCCTCACAGGTTGGCAATGAAAACGTTTCTGTGCCATGTTTTTGTACCAAGATGGCTGAGGCTAATGATGGAAAAAAGCTTAATGACAAAAAAAAACCAACAGGAAACAAAATTATAGTAGTATTTCATGCTGTTAATTCTGTACAAGACAGACAAAATGGCATTAATGCTGTTAGCAGGTGGCTTGCAATCCCAGCTGCATGGCTGATAATGGTGAAGAGTTTCATCCATCAACAGAGATTAAGACAGAGTCCTGCTCAGAGTAACATCAAGATTTTTCTTTGCTCTTCATAGGATTTGTTTGCTCTTATTTAATGGTTGATACGTACCTAAGTAAACTTGCATACCAAAAAGCAGGAAGGTGCAGCTTAAGTAGACGTACTGCTTTTAGCTTCCTGAGGGTGTATAGTTAGCCATAAAATGTGCACGTTAGCGTGGCTTACTGGTGTAAGTATGCTCAGCATAGTATTCAGTTTGGATCTCTGCTAACGACTAATGCCTAAAATACAGATGTTCTGTTTAAATTCTGTTAGAAAAGGTAGCCCCAGAGAGAAGACAGTTCTCAAGAGGAAAGCTCAAACATATGTCACGTTTTTAAAAAACAACCCTTCACTGAATGCGTGTATTTGAGGCATTTTTGCAGAACAAGCCTGAAAGGTGGGGTAGATTCTTCACAGAGAGAGGATCTATTTCTGCATCTTCTTTCAGCCATTAGGCTCCATACCTGGACTGTCTCCAGGGCTGGAGACAGCTTGCTGTTTTCAGTCATGCTTTTGACATTATTTCCAAAGGCATACTCTGATGCAATCTTTTACCACCAAAAGCAAAACAAAAGCTCAACAAAACTTAACATGAGGAACAGTTCACAGAGTAAATTGACATGAGCTGTTCTCAGTAAATGGTTTTATCTGATAAAAATTACTTCTTTTTTTTTTTTTTATTAGTGAATTATCTGTAAACAGACTGTGACCGTACAGATAAGTTAGCTGATTATTCAAGAAGGTTTTACATACTTAAACGTTATTTCAAGTTGAGACCTCTTGCCAGCTATTCACTTGCTATTCATATTAATTATTCACACTGCAACTGGCGTTCCCTCAGTGTGTTACTTAAGCACCACTTAATGCGGCTGTGTGAATTTTTCATAGTGGATCATTTTTATGAATCCAAATTCACTGTAATATATTGTGTGTGAATTTTTACTTGCATGAGTAATTGTGAAACTCCACCTTTGTGAATGCCCTTGTTAACATTTTTTTGTTGCTGGTCACATAAGGAGGGCTTGCAAATTGCTGCCAGAGACTGAAAATATGTAATCCTTGTATCCGATGGTGTCCAAGGGTTTCTGGGATACTTGGGAGGCAGACAAGTACAGTATTGTTCCCGTCATCCATTGTAGTTCGAGCAATCTGGTTTTCTTTAAAGGCAAAGTCCTTAGAAAACCAGAGCTGCCGCTTTGCAGAGATTATTGTTGTGAAGGAGATGTTAACTAATTATCTGTTTCACACTCTCCATCCCACTAGCTACTGTGTGTGCTCTAGGTTTCCTTGGAAAGGGAAGTGGATGAGCCCAGGCCGGGCAGGGACCAGCACCGCTGCCGAAAGCTCCTGCTCAGGATGCAAGGCGGGCAGCACTGGCAGCTCAGCCCCCTGTTTCTGGCAGGGCGCTATCCAGCCTGACTTAAGTGGGGCAGAATTTGGGAGCCCAGGGGTGCGAAGGCACCCCACAGGAGGTGAGGAGAAAACATCGGAGGGAGGCCCCGTTACTTCCCTGCCCCACTGCAGGCAAGCGTCGGCTGTGGCTGCAGCTGCCTGCTTGAGCTGCAAGGCTGCTGTGGAAGAGATTCGGTTCAAGCACTGCTTGCCGTAGGCTGCCTCTGAAATGGGGCTAATCGTAGCTGAAATTTCCCACCTACTCTATTTTTCAGCTGCTTTTTTTTCCCTCCTTTCTTTGAAGATTTCTTCTTGATTTTTTTTTTTTTTTTTTTTTTTTTTTTTTCCCCATGGGGCATGTTTGGTCTCCACAATGAAATGCGTTGTTTTACTCTTTGAAGTTTGTACCAGTCTTTTCACTTGCTTCCACGTTACGGCTTTGAGAGAGGATCAGGCATTATAAAGACTGTGCTAATTCCATGTTAAAATAGTCGTAAGACTGAAGTTCACAGCAAAACGAAACTGAAACCACTGTCATTTGTGACTAAACATTACTGAGAAATAGCTGCTTAATATGCAGGATTTGGTGGGGTTTTTTTTTAAGTTACCAGTTTTTCGGTACTGTTGTCATACGTTAAGCTTATCTTTTCTCCTAAACTACAGAAATTAGTAGTAGGTCTCCTGAAACTGAAGCAATTAGTTTTTAGGGATCTGTCTGCAGAATGATGGACACTGGTGAGTTTTTCCATCTATAGGATGTAGCTTCAGCCCTTCAAAACCACTGCATCAGTGATTGCTTACCTGTAGTATAAATTATAACCTGCAGCAAACTATAAGAACAGCATCTGTTTCACATGAAACCCTGCTGAAAGACGGCTAACAACCAGCTTTTTAGTTACGTTAACACTCACAGTGTAATTTTTTTGTAATTAATAAGCAGACCTCCCTTATCGTCTTTCTCTTTAAAAGCACTTTTCCCTGGAAAAACTGCAATGGCAATTTATATGGTCAGTTTGTTGCCATTATTATGGGATTTTAAATGATTAATCGTTATGTAGTAAAGGGTGATTAAGAAAATAAATTGCAGCATTTGGCTTTGAATGAAGTTTTATCTCTAAAGGGCATATTGAATTATTGGGTTTTTTTTTTCTCTGAAAAATACAAGGGATAATGTTTTGTGCAGAATAAATTCTAGGCCAACTTGTCAGATGGTACAATTTGCTACACTTTATGTACCTTATTAATGTGACTAATTACAGTTATAAACTGCATAGGAAGGAGGAACTAATTGGATTATGTAACTTCCTGAAAGGATTTTTTTAATTATTGTTATTTTTTTTTTTAACTTTGCCATGTCTAGCCAGGATAATTTAGAAAAATAACAGTTAATCGAACTCTGCCATTTTTGTGATTCACCTGTTCTGGTGTTGTTTTCATGGGATCAGGGAAGCTGCTGCACTGAGGCAGTTTGGGGGGGATGAGAGAGGAGGGATGGAAAATTTGCACTTAGGTGCCCTGTGCCCTAGTCTGAATAGGGAGCATGGAAGCGTGCATTTTCATAGAACCATAGCGGTGCTTAATAACTGGTTCAGAAGTTATTTTACAGCATTTCAAAGTTTGGTAGCATTTGGCTTGTATGTTTTGTGACACTCCAGTGTTCGTGGCGCAAGCCAAGCTGGTCATGTAGGAGAGGGAAGGCAAAAAGATGATGGGTACTGCAGTCCTGCACAAACCCAGCATCTTTGGTGATCATTTGTGATGCTACAGAGAAACCCAGAGGTGCAGTTGGGTGGAAACTGAACTTCATAGCGTTAATCCATGAGGATTTTGAGTTGACAAGATGCCAGTTGTAAAAAAAAAAATATGGGTTCGGTTTCCGTTACTTTGTAAAGAAATTATTCACTGCTGCACGTAGCATCTGGTTACAAACAGTGAGGGTTATTTTTGTATAGCTCCCCATGAGATAATTTTCTTTTCAAATTGTAAAGCCCTATTTAGAATAGAAAATGAAGGGTGATGTGTAGGTCTCCTGAAATACCTGTGTTCTTAAACTCAGTTTTCCAGGGTCAGTTAACAATCAGTTCAGAGTTGACACTAAAAAGCAATCGCTTAAATCTTAATGGCCAACTCTTCTGCAAGAGGGGGCCCTGTCCATGTTTAATGGGTCTCTTTCTACCTTTAGCATCTTCAGTTTTCTTCCGACATTATTTTGAGGCTCTGTGGTCCCTGTTTCTGTTTATAGTAGAACCAGCAGTGAATTTAAACACAGCTGTGACCAGCACAGCCTGTGTCTTGGCCTGGACAAGGAGTCGTGTTGTCCAGTCTCCGGAGCTGCTGGCCACTGGGGAAGCAACAGGAGTGGGACGGAATTGCGGTGTAAAGCTTTCAAAAAAGACACTGGGCAGGAGTTGGGAAAGCAGGACTTTAGACTGAGGCGGGGAGCTTCCCGCGCAAGGAGTAGTTTCTTTCTCCACCAGGTGAGAAGAGCAGAAAGCTGTGTTCGGGCAAGCCTCGCACTAACGGCGAGCGCTGATTCATAGTGAACCTGGATTCACAGTAACTGGGCCGTAATTGGCATGCAGATACGGAGTCTTACATTTGTGGCTTGCTCAGATAAGCAACAACTTGTAGAGTACCCTGGGAAAAAAAATGAAGTTACTTTCGGGTGTGGTTTTCCCTTCTTTTTTTCCCCCCCCCATTTTTTCTTTTTCCTCCCTCCCCTTCACCCTCTTTTTTCCTTTTTTCTTCCCTCTTTTTTTCCTTTTTAGTTTTTTCCTTTTTTCCCCACTTTTCTTCCTCTTATTTTTTAAGTTTCTGCCTATCTAAGATAACATATGAAATCTGATGCTTCTCAGAAACAACCTCCCCCTCTACCATTCTTTCAGCTCTGACTTTGCCAGAGTGCAACAAATAAGCTATTTCATCCCAGTTCTTCTTAAATTTGTGACTGTATCGTACCTGCCAGTGATTGGAAGGCTTTTCTGCAACATTAAGAGAAAAACTAAAATAACAGACAGCAGCTTTCTTTTGGTAGTTGAGTTGGTTATCTCCGAGCAGCGTCTCAAGTTGAGTGATGCGAATTAGCATCCTGCTGCTAGCAGGACAGAGAAGTGATGCTCTATCTCTGTGCGGTGCCCCATGCCTTGTTTGTGTGTTAGCTCTTGAGTTCTTGTAATTCAACTTGCTAACCCAGCAATACCCCAAAAACTTCTTTTCAGCTCTTTTATAAAACTGAATTGTCTCGTGGCGTGATCGAAAGAGCATGAAGCCTTGTTAATTGTCAGGAGTTTGGATCATGACCCAGGGGCAGAGATGGGAGGAAGAACCACAGCCCTTGTTTTTTCAGCAACAGGGAAATAATAATTTGGCTCAAACCACCTTGTGAAGTCATCTTCTAAGAGGAGGCTTGAAGGGTGTTAGCAAGGACATTAATGTGGTTAAGAAGCTTATTTTTTGCCATTTAGTTTCTGTGGAGAGACAGATAGTTGGCACTCCTTACGTTTTTTGTGAGCATCAAATTATATTAATTTCTGTGTTTATTTATATGACTGTTAAAGTTTCTTTCATTAGTCTTGCAGAGGGATGGTCAACTTGTAGCCGCATGGTGTAACAGTGGTGTAAAGTTGGCAATTTCTGCCTCACCTGCCATTATTCAGAGTGAAGAATTGACTCTGCTCCGTCACCTCAGCTCCTGAAAGCAAGTGGGCAGGTTTGCTCCTCATACAACTCTCGCTGGGGAAAGAGCAACCAGCGGCTGCTCCCTCCTCCCCGCCCGCAGCACTGAAATCCAGGGGGTACCACTGCTGGCTTTTAAATTGTATGTGGCAGCGTAAACCAGCCCCGCTCAATGGCTTTGGCTGAGCTGGGTCATGACCTTCCTGTCCATTCAAACACCGTCAGAACCGATGACAGCTGCTTTGGAAGTGCTGTGCACCCCTATTTAGTGTGACATCCTTATTGTGGTCTTCGTTGTGCTGGTAGATGGCATGGAAAGTTCCCACCCAGATGAAACTTAGAACCAGAAGCGATGAGGTCAGCACTGCCGGGCCAAGCGTGAGTGTGCCTGCAGGCTGCATGGGCTGCGCTTGGTTCAGCCTCCTCCTCCTCGGCTGGCCAGGCATTCCCAAGGGATGCAGCCTGGCCCTGGGGGCTGAGGTGCTCTGCAACTGAGCTCCAGAGCCTGCAAGCCGCACGACAAAAGTGTCAGGGGTTTGCTGCCCCGACTTGCTCTGTGGCTTCCCAAGGCAGGACCCTATTCCATACTCATTACCTCCCCTTTTCTCTTCGTGCTCTCCTCCTCCCCAACTCTGTGTTGCTCATTTCTTAAGCCTGTTTGGAGTTGTCAGCCAGAAGGTGCAGATCCTTAACTGTCCAAATGTCTGTGCAAGGCGTGGGGTGGAAGGGGTCCTGTGGACAACAGGGTGAGTTGCTGTGTGGGTCAGGGGTTCCCAGCACCCGTCTACTTTATTGTGTCGTAGCCTGAGCATCTGATGCTTCAGGCATGGTAGGACTAAGGTCAAGAAAAAAAATCCAGAAGGTAAGGAAGCTTCTCCTGAGCTCCATGTGCTGCCTGTAAAGCACAGCTGGGTGGAGGAGGTAGGGCTGGTGCATGAATGTCTGCATTCATTCATCTTTGCCCTCTCCTAATGATAAGATTGTCGAAGCTGTAAACATTTGGGGTGAAACTGGGGTGTTTTTTTAATTGTGTCATTGTTTAGTGCTATGAGCTGAGTGCTTTTTGACACTTTTTTTTTTAATATAGAAATTTTAATATAGAAATTCTGGCATAAACCTCTTGCTTTTATGCGAAGAAGAAATGTTCCAAGGTCATTGCGTTGTGTTTTATGGTGCATTTTTGCTTGCTCTGTCAGTCAGTCTCCCTTCTTAGGTTTTCTTTTTGTGACTGC